GGAGAGCATCAACAAACCAGTAGCAGGAATATTGATGAACTCCAATTCTACTTGCAAAAGTCAACAGAGCCCCGCACAAAGGAATTTCTACCGCTGGGTTGGTGGAGGAGCAACGCAAATCAATTTCATGTTCTTTCGACCATGGCTCGAGACGTGCTAAATGTACTGATTTCAACAGTCGCATCAGAGAGCGCATTTAGCCATGCAAGGCAGCAACTAGGAGATACCCGACATTCATTGGGCAGCAACGCTTTGGAAATTCTAGTGTGCTTCAGAGATTGGATAAGATCAGAACGGCGAAATCAAGGGCGTGACGAGGTAGATGAAGCGGAGAACCAAGAAATTGGAGATATAATGGTTTATGGTTCCGATTCAACCAATGCCGGAAACCAAGAACCTCATGTTGACATGGATGAACTTACAAAAATGATGCAAAGCATGTGATGTATTATTTCTTTTTTTTTTTTAAAAAATAATTATTGTAAACTTTTAATTTGCAAGTTCAAAAATAAAAAAATCAAAAAAGAACTTGCAAATTAATTTGAAGTATTATTTATTATTCAATGAAAATATAAAACGAAAGCCTTCGGAGTTTGATCCTTACATATTGCGTATTGGTCTTATTAAATAATTTTTTGTAGCCACTTACTTTCAAATTTTAATTTTAAAATTATAAAATTCAAATTTCAAATTTAAAACTTTAAACTTCAAAGTTTAATTCTAAGCCTTAAAAGTTTGCAAACACTTAAGTATCAATAACATTGAATAAGAAAAACAAAATTTACTTTAAAAAAAAAAAAATTGCTCGGCCCGATCCGGACCCGTTAAGCCCGAACCCGGACGGGCCCAAAAAAACCCGAAAATGTACAACCCGCTAACCAGCCCGGAACGTTAAACGGACGGGCTAATTTTTCTTGTGTACAGCCCGTCCCAGTCCGCCCGTTAAACACCATAGGGTGGATGAAATGAGGCTCGCTTCCGGTGTCTTGTGTGATAAGAATGTGCCACTTAAACTTAAAGGTAAGTTCTATAAAGTGGTGGTTCGACCGACTATGTTATAAGGGGCAGAGTGTTGGCCAGTCAAGAACTCTCATGTCCAGAAGATAAAAGTAGCTGAAATGAGAATGTTGAGATGGATATGCGGGCATACCAGATTTGATAAGATTAGAAATGAAGTTATTCGGGAAAATATGGAGTGGCCCCGTGGAGGACAAAATGCGAGAGGCGAGGCTGAAATGATTCGGGCATGTGAAGAGGAGAAGCATCGATGCCCTAGTTAGAAGGTGTGAGAGGTTGGCCACAAGGGGTATGAGGAGGGGTAGAGGTAGGCCTAAGAAGTATTGGGGAGAGGTGATTAGGCAGCACATGGCGCAGTTGGAGCTTACCGAGGACATGTCCCTTGATAGGAGGGTGTGTAGGTCGAGAATTAAGGTATAGTAGGTAGTCGAGCGTTTTGCTTTTTCTTTCTCGAACCGGTAGCATTAGTATTAGTATGGTATCACTTTTACTCGTAGATTGCTCTCTTTACCTATTGTTTGATTGATATCTTTCGCTTTGGTTTTCTTAATTTCCTGTTGTTGTTACTACTTGTGGCTTATGTTTCTTTTCATCTACTCTCTAGCCGAGGGTCTATCGGAAACAGCCTCTCTACCCTCCCAGGGTAGGGGTAAGGTTTGCATACACATTACCCTCTCCAAACCCTACTTATGGGAACTCACTAGGTGGTTGTTGTTGTTTTGTTGAATATTAAGCAAGTCTAGTAAAGGTTTATACTGTAAAATTCCTTGAATAACACCTTCGGGGTTGTTCTAAAATCAACTTTCAATTCCAAAACAACTTGTTGTAATTTGAAAATGGACTTTCGAATCATAAAATCCTTTTTGCTGCACAGACGATCTATAAACATGTATATTCTAGATCCTTGCATTGGAAATCTCGTATCAAACTTATCCTCCAGATACAACTCCAAATTTCTAAATGCAACAAAAATGTAATCCCCACCACCTCCTCCCACCAAAGAAACAGAGGAGCAACACAAAAAGAAAGGACAGAAACCTTATGTACGATAAGAGAAGGTCTTAAAAGTAACTTGCGCCATAAGAAGGCATCCATTCAATTAGCTCGACTAGTAAACCCAACTCTCAGCTAATAGTAGCAATATATTCTTTACCTAAGGAACTTAAAGACATACCTTAACAGCAATCTTTTTTATTGAAGATTCTTCTGCAAAAGGTTGCAGCATAGTAACTCCAGGGGGTAATTTTGTGTCAAACATTGTCTGTGCCAGCCTAAGCATTTCCTTCTGTTCATTCTCACATTTGCTCAAGGTCTCGATACCAAGCTCCCTGAGATTTAAAGAAGGCATATTACCAAGGAAAAGAGAAAAACTGGTAGACTGCTTCAAGCCTGAAGTTTTATTATTTCCTCACTAGAGCAGATTAAGCCAAGCCACAGGAGAGCAGATACAGAAAAATCAACCACTAGTTCTGGCTGAATGGTTATGAGCCTATGAAGAAGCATATGCTATTTTCACCTGGTATATCAAGGGATATATTATTTTCAAGGTGGTCTCCACTGTGATAGGTTTCTAAATTCTAATGATAGATGATTCGCAACCATACTTGCATGAACGCATTTTCTCTTAACAAAAACACGACCAGGTCTGCCAATCTTACGGTCAATAAACATATGCTGTCAACGATGCATCCCCCCCCCCC